GCTCAGCAAGGCCCTTCTCCATATCAGGCCTCTGTTGGCTTGCTCTGGGTGGAATTCTTTCCACAGAAGTCTCCAGGGCTCAAAACCTGGTTTTGCATACCTCTTGCGATCTTGGTCGTTGAAGGGCATTCTTGTACCCATCCTACCAGCAAGCCAAAAAGTTTGACTGACAGGCTTTTGTGCTCCTGGGATCTCCTGGGTTTCCAAGGAGGCATCCACTGTTGTCTTTTGCTTCCTGGCCTCAGCAAGATGGTCAGGAAAAGTTTCATCTATCAGGCTGAGATAAGTCTCAACCTGCCACACAAGCCTTTCCCAGTCGTCACTCCTTTTTAGGGGTTTAGGGGGCTTTATAGCTTGCTTTAGCAAGTCTACTCCCCTGAAGACTGTGTGGGTAAGACCACCTACTGGTGAAACTTTGTCTAGGGTCCTAAGCTACCTACTGCGGGGCTGCCCGCAGCGGTGCTGCCCGCTTGCAACTGGTTAAGTTGCAGTGCAACTCTAGCTGTGTCCTGGCGTTCGCTTCAAGTTGACTGACAACCTGGCGATGTATTTCCGATGCCCTTCGGAGGGCATCCGCCAGTTCGGCCACTTGGGCCGCTAACCCTTCAGGTGTCGGCTGGGCTGGTTGGCTCATCGTCCGCTTCGGTTAGGCGTGGCGATGGCACTGTGCTTCCTTGCAGGGACGGGGGATCCTGGGCTCCAAACCCAGGCGTTGTAGGAATTGACCCTACGTGCACGTACTCTGCCTGTGCAGGGTCCGCGGCGCTGCCCGCTTCGGCGGGTTTGCCTGCAGCCTCAGCTGCAGGCGTGGTGCTGCGCTGCTCTCGTAGGAGCTGCTGCTGTCGTCCTGAGTGGTGTTACGCGCTGTCGGTGTAGCTGGCTCCTGCACGGGCCTCGGCTCAGCTTTTGGAGGCTCCTTGCTCTCTGCAGTGGAGGACTCGGCGGCGCTCTCCTCCTGCTGGCGCAACTTGTTTGAGCGCGCCTTTGCTGGCCACACTCTACGCGGGCTTGGGTCCTTTCAGCGCACCTTTTGCCCCGGACGTTCTTCTTTTTCCAGAAGCCGCCCACTGTGCTGGGCGGTTCCTCCAGTGAGCTACGCGCTCAGTGGAGGCGGAAGCACCCACTGCTCTCGGCAGGCGGTTTGCCAAACCAGGCTGGCTTGAGCTCAACCTGATTTGTCCACTGGCGGCTCGAGGAGACTTGTCCTAGCTGCTCCTGCCACCCAGACCAGGGATCTTCCTCCTTTTGGTCCTCGTCCTCCTCCCACGTGTTCCGCCCCGATTCCACCACCAATCGTCCCACTGGTCCCACACGTGGTGACCGACGGACGGCGGGTCTACCCGCTCAAAAGAGCAGGAAACTTCTGTGGTTTGGGAGGCGCCGTTGCTGCCCCCTTTTGTCCTGGTTTACAGACCCAGGTGCCCTGTCCAGGTTTTACGGCCCTGGTCCGCTTTCGTGGGCTAGCCCGACGGCGGGTCTGCTCGCACTAAGCTCTGTTGGCTTAGCGCAGGGTATCCCAGGTTTTACAAGTCCCTGGTGAGCTCTTGGTTTGCACCCTTAATGGCGGAGCTAGCCGCGAGTGTACCCTAGCGGCTCGTCCGGAACCGCAAGGCAACTCGCTGAGCTGTCTGTCCAAAGGTGGGTCAGAGCAGCTCCGCTACCATGCGAAGCCTAACGCTGCCTACCTAAGTGGGCTCAGGCCTAGAGCAAGCAAGGCACTTTTTCTCAAGCTGTATAAGGGCTGCGGAGTTGCACTAAGCGTTTAGGGAGTAGCCTTAAGCTCAAATCCTCTAGCTCTTTGTTTATATCTTACACACAAGCGTGTAAGATTCGCAGAATAACAAAAGCCTCGAAGATTGCAGCTTTTTTAATTTGAAGCGTTGCTTTTACTAAGCTCAGGACTTGCGACTGCCTTTCAAAAGGAAACATATTGGATCAAGGACTTCTGTAAGAGAATATAAAGAGCTCATAATCAGAGAACTCTTCTTTAAATTCATAACCAGTTTGGTACGGTCTTGACATAGAGAAAATGCAAGGCCAAGCGTTTGAGACTTCCTCTTGAAAATCTAAATACATGTAGTATTATCTCGGAGACCATTAGAATATTATATGTGTCTTTGATCATAGTATGGAAAATATTGAACGCGTGAAATGCGTTTTGATACTTGTTGAAAACTATTTTCAGAACATTTAGACATGAAATTATACTATTGGAGGAGGAGCATACTGAAAATTAAATACCTTCACCCACAGTGTAGCAGATGGGATTTCCGAGAACAATTTTCTTTTCGCCAGTAAAACCAAACCTCTGTTCCTACGAACGGAATAGAATTCTCTCTTGTCCAAAAGACAGCCACAAATGACTTGAGAGAAATTATATAACCCTAATCCCTTGTGTCTCTGGACGTTAAGCCCACGGAGGCGGCATTCTACGCTAGCAAAGGCCAAGGAGTCGGTTCAAGGTGGCCTCCATCAACGCAATAACTGGACGGAAAATTGTTCTAGCCTCCATTCGCCATGGAAATGGTTTCGGTCATAATTTCCAGGAAATGATTTGGATTCACAGTGTTCGAAGCCGTGGACTACTCGGGGGGACGATCGCGATTTTTGTGGCAATAATGCACGGGACATGGTTCGGCCCTTCATTGTTGGAAGAAATGAATGGGAAATAGTTCGGGCCTCCATTTTTTGAAGCAATGTATGGGAAATAAAGTCGATGTTGCCTCATGATTCCAAATAATGGGCACTCAACTGTTTGGTTCTCCATTCTTTCTTCGCGTGCATAGGATTTGCGAACCAAACGCTTCAACTAGCAAACATCAAGCCACGGATCCCTCCAAATGCGTGCATCGAATTCTGATCACGTGCAAGACGTGCCTGTTCATCGCGCACTCCAGCGTTTACAATCGGCAAGTCAGGCTGACAGTTGCCCGCACATTCACGCATGTCGGCAAACTTCATTAGGTTTTTTCGAATTGAGAGTGGCCAAGGGAACTTGGCCGGCGATGAAAGGTTGAGTGCAGCTGCTGCAGGCGCAGGCCTCAAGCACATGTGAAACGCAATCAGCCTAGTTCCGCAGCCTCTGCATTATTGCGGCTTGCGCAGTACCAGGGTAAGCTGCAGCTCATCCGACGTGCTGTACCGGGGCTACTAGTCTTTGGGCTCCTTTTTGCAAGAATTGCAGTGCACTTGTGTCGCTAGAAGCAACACTCAACTTCGTGATGCTGTACCGATCTCGAGGCTCCTTCCCTCCATTGCACGCAACTTTTTGGTCACACCGCTGGTTCGGTTCTTTGGTCTGAATGGCGAGCTCCGATCGCTTCGCTGATGCTGCTGTCTTGGCCTGAGCTGCAGAATGTTGCAAACAAATGTCGAGCCTTCAGCTGACGCGTCCTCCCTGCAAGTTTGGGCCCCACACGTGCTGCTTGCAGCAGCAGCTCTTCTAAGGTGCTCCGCCCTCCGACATAGACAGACACCAACAGCGACAGCACGACACAAGCAGCACATCTGAGACGCATTGCAGCTCGAACATCTGGGGGGTGAGCGAAGGCACGACATTTGAGCTACCAAGTGTTGCTCATGGTCCTGCCCGCTCAGCTCTTGCTGCATGTCACGACCTCTCTAGTCACCATTTATTCTTATTCTTACTTCTACTATTATGAACTATTATCATTGCTACTACTATTGCTACGATTGTTCATTATTACTATTATGATTCCTATTATTATTGCTATTATTACAAGTCCTCCGGGGAAGGCCTCAGCTGGAAACAAGCAGCTTGTGGAAACTGCGAAGCTGGCATTGGGGGACTGGCTCTTCGCGTACGTCGACCTGCAATGCAAATCAAGGAGCCACCAAAGTGCCCAGTGAGTAAGTTGTTACAATATGACCTTAATATCCTATAATAGTTTCCATTTCATTTTCCATTATCCCAATATAACCACTAATATAGACTGTTACTGGGTGGGGGGTGGATTGCTCCTTGGCACGTCGCATTGTGAGGAGACATGAGGACACGAAGGCAATCACGCCAGAAGGCTAAGCTATGGAGAAGCCCTGGAATAGAAGTTCAATCAAGAAGGCCTGTGTTCTCCACACGTGAGTTCCCGGTTTGCCTGCTGAGTGCATGTCTTACCCTATATGAGCCGCAGCATGCTAGTCATCCTCTTCCCTTGTAAATTGCTCAAGTCATTAGTCATTGAATTTTCTCAGGTTTCTGTGCAATTCCCATTCACTGCTCTGATTTTGATAGCCCTCCTCCACCACCTTCATGCCTCTCCCAGACAGACTACACGCTGATTGTACATGTTTTATACATGTGCTTGCATATACAGCATGCAGTAAAACATCTGGTGGACATCACGCAGACAAAAACATCATGGCAAACGCGGCAATGGCATTCTTGATATGGAGTTTGTCGCTTACCGCATCAGAAGTAAGGTCTGGCTGAGGGTCTAGGTGGTCCGGCATGTGCACCCCAACAGACATCATTGCGATCACAGACACAAAAAGGAACGCCCAATCAACCGTACGCACATATTGCAGCAGAAGATTTAAACAAGTGGTCACAGATTCAGCTTTTCATCATGCAGATTTTTGGTTCCACACAAATTCTGTTGTTCCCGCTGAATTGAGCTTCTGCATCACACTCATGAAATACACCAGTAGCACTGACAGTGACAGCGCAATTGAATGGCGAGCCTTGAGCACCTCTCTTTGAAGAGAGCACGAGGGCGACGACCACAGCGTCTGTCCAGAGCACCGCATCAAGACTGCTGTCGTGAGACTAGTGACACACAGCCGATTGTGCATCTCAAGGTATGCTGTGTCCGGCACCTTCAGTTTCTGCTCACCTGGGCTGAGCGCAAATGCGTGTTCAACATGTCCACCTTCTTGGTACACGGCCATGGCTTGACTTCTAGGCTGCTAGGCATCGCACTCGGCTTTTGGCCAAAGCTCACCTGAGTGGAACCAGCGGCCACCTCCTCAAAAGACCCAGCTCACGGGGTCCCTGCCACGGGAGGCTCCTCCAGCATTCGCCCGGAGAAATAGCGCAGGACCTGCACTCAGGTCATGACAAAGGCACACAAGTAGCTCGTGCGTTTTTCAGTGAAGGCCTCGGACACCAGCTCTGGGGTGATAGCTTCATCCTGGGACACCTCGCTGCTCAGCAGTCTGCTGTCTGCTTGCACAGGTTGAATGACTGAGGCGGCTGAAACGATCTGAAAAAGATCTGAGAGCTGGGCATGACGAGCTCGCTTTGAAGGAGGCTCATTAACAGCAGTCTCTTCAGATGCGACTGGCTGCCCTGTCCCAGCCCCGTCTTGGCT